TTTCTCTTACTGTTATGCTGTGCTCACACTTAAGCCCTGTTTCCATCAAACACTTTTAGTAAAGTACGTTTGTAACCAAAAGTAACCCATCAGACATGGTACCTAGACATTAGGTCCGCTTAGCATTTCCACTGCAAACAGTACTCTTAAATGTGGGCAGAGTTGTTTACACTCGCTGCTTCGTCAAACACCTGCTTTATTTCCTTATCACCAGCAAGAGTGACCATCTGCTACTGACCAATCAACAGACTGCAGTGTTCACAGCATCACCTTTTGGCACCAGATCTGTGTGCTAGGTACCCCAACAGAGGGGGGACCAAAAATGGGGACGGTATGGAACAGTTCCATTGGTACCATTCACAACTTTTCACAGCGGAAATGGAAAAAAAGCGTACCAAACTGAACTGAACTGAACTGTACTGTACAGCTCGGTTGAAACAACGCTTAAGTGCGCCAACAAACCAGCGTGACCAGCTACATTATCACAGCTGCTGAAGTGTTGCCCAGCAGCTTTTTAATGTAGCTACGTCTTCACAAGCTTGTGTGTGTTGGCTACTTGCAAAAAAGCACCTCGACAGAATGTCATCCAAAAAACAAACAAAAAACAAAGTTTAACATCACATTTCATCACCCCATTGCATGTGCACTGCAATACACAGTTAACTTAGCATAAGCCAACTAAACAAAATAACACAGCACCACACCTAGAATCAAAAACGTGAATGTTTCATGCTTCAGCGTGTCCCTGGAGTGCTGAAAAAAGTTGAGGGTGGCTCAGCTTTTGATTGCAGCGTGTCACACCCGTCTGCAGGAACAAGTTCTGGGCATCAGTTTGAAGCTTCATGTCACCTGCTTCTACTGAGAACGACTGCTGTGTTGTTCATAGTGCAACACTGTGCTAACACTACCCTATGGCTGTCCGGTCACTGTACAAACAGCCAGTGTGCAGTTTATGACAGTCTAACATTTCATAGAACACATCGGCAGAAAATACATTTGCAACCCCTGATTCTCAGCTGTTGTGTTGAGTTGTGCAATCTTATTTAATCAGGGCAGATTATCGTCTTAACTCCTGTTAGTCACAGTAAATATTATCACAACTTGGCACACAGACATTAAACCATGACATACCTAAGCCACTTGAACTACCACAGCTGTTATATGCAAGTGCAAATATGCAGCTTTCCTATAAATTTCTTATCTGTCTTCACATATTACACTTAAAAGGCGCTGCGTGTCTTACCTGGGATCTCAGTGTGTCTCAACAAGAGGTGAAGGTACAGACGCCTCTCATACCCTTATTTCACCTTGGAACCTCCCACTGATACAACACTTTCTTATGTATCATTCCATAATCCACTAGATCTCCTGGGTCTTAAAAAGTCCCACCCATTACATGTAGAATGTATTATTACTGGTATCATGTTTCAAGCTTTCTTCAGTATCAGAGTTGTATATAGTGGGGCGGCTTAGCTCAATATATCACAACAATCGTTCATTTTGTGATGAAGGCACACAATCTGGTATAGAGGGATATAGAGGGAAGTTAAGTGATAGGAAGTTTGTCATAGATGATGAGGAAATCCCAACAATTAGGGAAAAGTCAGTAAAGAGCTTAGGTAGGTGGTACAATGTGGAGTTGAATGATGAGGAACAGGTGGTGAAATTTAGAAAAGATGTGGCAGAAAGATTGGATAGAATAGATAAATCAGAACTTCCAGGAAAGTTGAAGTTGTTTGCAATTTGGGCTATATTCTAGGTTGATGTGGTCATTGTCAATTTATGAAATTCCAATATCAGTTGTGGAGAGAATTGAAAGTTTGGTTAGCTCCTATATTAGGAAGTGGTTGGGCGCTCCTAGGTGCCTAAGAAGTGTTGAGGTGTGGCATTTGGCAAAATCCAGCTGCAATTACTCGCGCTGGCAAAACAAATGCACACATTCACACAAATGGTTCTTATATTGCCAGATTCCAGAGAGTCTCCCCTCTTCATATATGGCAGAATATGTCAACTTCCAACTTGCTATGGTGAGATACATGTAAAAATGTAAGAATTTAGTAACACAGATTTGTTTTTTTCATTGATATAAAAATGAATATAAAATACAGGCACATAGAAGGACATATAATGATGGCAAATCTGGATAGCCCAGATTGTCCTGAAAAAAAAAACAAGATATAGCATGTGTATGTAGCCTTTATAATGACTGTGATATGAGCTTAAAAGTAAAGGCAGTAAAAATACCCCAAAAAGGCCTAGGGCCCGAGATGTTGACTTCAGACTGCACTTCTCTTGCTGTCTCTGGTTTGTTCACACCATTTGAAAGATTATTTGACCTCCTGCCAACATCCACATGCCCACAGACCTGCATGCCTCTCAGGTTATCTTATTTACTTGTAAGGTTCGGTATGCTTATCGTTTTCTCTCTAAATCTTATTCTACATCTGTTTCTGTGTGCATGTATTTTGACAAGCTAACCTGAACAACAAATAGCATTACACAATGAAGCTATTTTGATTTGTTAGACATATAAAGATAAGTTGCTTTGGGAACATGAATGGGCCCTTTCTGTCTTATTTCACAAACAACTGATCCACACCCTACTTCCCCCATCTTTAAATGAACCAAATCAGTGACATCCACAAAATGAACACAGAAAGCTGTCTTTGTGGCGTCTTATGCAATCAAATATGTTCTTTTGTTTTCTTTTCTTTAGAATTTTGCACCATACCACTGATGCTGAATCTAAAATGAGTGGTGGCTGTTGTCTCTGGTTTGTTCACACCATTTGAAAGATTATTTGACCTCCTGCCAACATTCTCATGCCCACAGACCTGCATGCCTCTCAGGTTATCTTATTTACTTGTAAGGTTCGGTTTGCTTATCATTTTCGCTCCAAATCTCTGTGACTGAAGTGTCATTAGTTCAGTGAAAGCTATATTCTAACAAATATAAACCAATTACATGAGGCAAAAAGAGCAAAAGAGAAATCAAAAAGGAAAACTACTCCCAAAAACAAGAGGAAGAAGAAACATCCTTTATTTATTGTGCTGNGAAGGACTGACCAGCCGCGGCTTCCCTCCCACGTCACTGTTTACGTCACACGCTGAGCTACACGTTTTGTTACTTGATCACGCCCCCCATTGCCCCGAAAAAGGCACATTTTATATGAACAAAAGTAGGTAGGCGGCATTTTGCCCCACTCCCCGATTTTGTTTATATACTGCCAATGCTGAAAGAAGACTGATTGGGCTTTCCTGCAAATTTGCACAATTCCTGTTTAAAAAGGGCTTTAGAGTCACCAGTGAACCTAACCTGCATCTCTTTGGACTGTGGGAGGAAGCTGGAGTACCCTGAGACATGGGGAGAACATGCAAACTCCCCACAGAAGGCCCCCCCCACCCAAGGTTCGAACCAGGAACCCTCTTGCTGTTGCATGGTGGTGCTCTATGAAAAGTCAGATGATCACCAAAATCATCAGGATTCTTTAAATGAAGGACTAATATGGCTGCAGTAAATCAGAGGAGACGGTTGTCAGCTGACTCATTGCTGCATCTGTCACACTTATTAATCTGGCACAATGTGTATGCGGTGTACACTGACATGGTGGCAAAGTTTCTCCTTACATGGTAAATATTATCCTTCATTTCAGGCGGATGTAGACAAAAAGAGGATTCTTATCTTTACTAAAACAAATGTATGCCAGCAGTTTCATCAGAAGTGTAGCCAGCAAGTGATTCAACCTTAATTTCAGTTTCTTAGAGACCTCATTATGAAATTTGCAGGCTGTGGGAGGATGTCGGCACCCTCACCGGTTAATTATCCATGGAAACTTACCATAAAATGACATGCCTGGACAGTCACAAATGTGACTATTATGACATATACGTACTTTACAAGAGAAAAGTTTTTGAAAAGGAGAACTAACAAATCAGCTTGCCAAATCTCAGGTGAAAGTCCCTACACCCATTAAAAAGCACGGCAAAGCTGCATTCATGAGCTTGATGTGCCAGTTTTACTTGATGTGCCAGTTTTACTTGATGTGCCAGTCAAAGTCACAACATAGGTTATTAAGTGTAAGATAATAGGCGTGCTAACATCAGAAACTACACGACTTGACTTTAAAAGGACAGTGCACCCCAAAATCAACAGTGTAATGCTATATATCAGTCTAGTTTTGGTGTGAGTTGGTCTGTGGATTTTCTTGAGTAACTGAGTCATGATTCCTGGAAAGAGACTGCAGAGTAAAATGTATTTTTTGGCATGCTGAGTTCAACAAGGGAGTGTCATCTACTTCCATTATATTCAAGAAAAGGCAGACACCTCTATGGCTGGTATCTCCAACATTTGGCAACTCACACTACAACAATCTAGACTGATAAAAAGCACTACATGCAAGCAGAAAAATATGTTTTTGATGCAGGGGTTGACTGTCTCTTTAAAATGAGCCTTGTTACAGTCATCTAACTGTGACTGTGACAGTCACTGTTTTGGAGCAGGGTTTGGCAATGAGCAGTCATACCACAGGTCTATCCCTGAACATGCTCCTGTGCCTGAGATGTTAAGATGTTGGTTGCATGTGGTCAGAAGCTGCTCTGTGTGGTTGATGATGGTTGCACCTGTAGCCATACCCAACAATGATGTCACTCTGTTAAAACACCCTGACGTACACCTGTGCAGTAAGGTGAGAAATGAAACCACTGAAGATTTTCAGTTGTTTAACTGCTCTTTAAAACGCACATGCGAAACCACTGAGCACATATTGTCTGATGCAAATATCTGACATGCAAACAGAACAGGAGAGCCTGCTAGATTTATACATTATAATGTTTGCAATCAAATGTGTGAAATGTACAACACAAAAGGACACTATTAACTGCAATAACCATAAGTGAATTTATCAAGTTCTATCTACTTACACCAGCTGTGACGCAGCTGTTCAGGAGGTTATGCTTCATGTCATGTCTCAGTAATGATATTTGACATTGTTTATTATAATACTTAAGGATTTCCATTGAACTGATTACACACATTATTCCAGTAATACACAGAAATAGCTTAATTCATGAGTGTTGATACTAAAGGGAATCTTGCATAACGATGTATCCAGCCCTGGATAAATATTTATTCTACACGCAAAGGTACACTGTATAAGGAAACTATGCATGTCAATGTACACAAAGTGTCTCCAGTTAGCCTGCAGAGTGTAACATGTCTTGTGAAGTTGCCTGTCTGAGACACATACACACTGTGTCTGCAGACAAAGACAAAAGTGTCTTTATGGTGACTGTAAACATAAAATCTGCTTTCATTTCTTGTACATATTACAGCCATTATCTCTAGCAATGTCCATTATTTCTGCACAGCACAGTATAAAAAATCCTTTCATAGTGCTGTTTAACAATGTAACAGCATTATTATTGTGTTAAGTCCCATGAAATGATGACTTATCCTCATATCCTGTATGCATTTCCTATATGCAGCGACGGAAATGGAGGATGTCATGTCACATCTGATCCTTTGCATTAAAAATCACCACAGTCTTAATTTGCTCCGTTCTGTTAATGTAAGTGGACACAACGGAGCGTTGAAATGTGGTCATGTCTGATCCTCTGCGTGGATGTCTAGTCCTCCTGTAGATGGCGCTAACTTTCCTCCTAAAATACTGCCCTGAGTAGACATACAGCAGTGGGTTCAGGGCGCTGTTGAGAAAGGCCAGATACGCTGAGACCTGACCTCCTATGTCGAGTGTGTGGAACCACAGCTTCTCATCCAGCACTTTAATATCACAGAGTGTGTCGAGGAAGGTAAAGATCTGGAAGGGACCCCAGCACAGTAAAAACAGTATTGTGACAGCGTACATCAGCACTGTGGCTTTTGTGTCTTTGGTGTCATTAAAAGCAATGCTGTCCTTCCTCTGACCTAAAGCTTTGATTATGTTCCCACTGCTGAAAACAATTACCAGAACAGGGAGAACAAAGCCCACCACATTCATCAACATCTGATGGGCCAACTTCCAGGAGCTCTCGTGACTGTAATCCAGTATGCAGGATGTTGTCTCAAACTCCTCGATGAACTTCACCTTTCTGTGAACAAGTATCGGCGTGCTCAGTACGACGGCTAATATCCACAGGCTAAAGCAGATCACCTTGGCATAGAGTGTCCGTCTCAGCCACCTGGCCTTCATTGGCTTCACAAGTGCGAGGTAGCGGTCAACGCTAATCATAACCAGAGTGTAGATGCTGGTGTAGAAATTAATGATGATGATGGAGTTGACCAGTTTGCAGGATGCATCGCCGTACAGCCAGTTGAAGTCGTTGATGATGTACATCGCCCAGAAGGGGAGGCCGCACAGGAGAATGAAGTCGGCCAGCGCCAGGTTGCTCAGGTAGATCTCGGCTACAGTCAGTCGATCCATGTGGATGAAGTACACCCCGAGGACGAAGCTGTTAAAGAGGAGGCCCAGCAGGGATATGGTGAAGATGTACGGGGGAATGATGGCGTGGACGAGCTCCCATTCTGCAGAAGTTGGTGACGCAGTGCTGTTTTCGGGCCACAGCGTTGCCATGGGTACAAGTGTCATGGGCTCCATGGGCTAGGAAACAAAATAATTAGACATAACTCATCGGTAAAATGCTGTTAGTTGATTTAAAATACATTAAGCTTGTTTGAAAAGTACTGCACTAGAGATTGAAAATAAACATGCAAGGTTCATAACTTTTATTTTAGACACAAAAACTACACAAAACATACGAAAATTGTAGAAATTTCTGCCACAATAATCACATGTTTATTCACAGTTAGGCAGATTTAGTGCTGAGGAAAACATGTGGCCACCATGAGCCACTGGACACAGGCCCAGGTTGAAGCACCCCATACCTTCACCTGTAAAATGTCACTCAAACTAACGTGCTGATGAAGAAGACACTCAAAATGACCACGAAGAAATGTAAAATTACTATAAAGAGACAAAAATGCACTGAAAAGAACACATAAGGCCTAATAAGACACAAAAATGACTACAAACAGACATAAAGTGACCAACTGACTTCAAATATTTGCCAAATAACTTATGAATTTGTTCTCAGGAATTATCTCAACTCACTTCCTGCCATTAAAAAGACTCAACAACTATTTCTCATCGAGCTGAATGGCACCTGTTTATATTTTCAGGGTACAAACTCTGACGTTCCAAACTAAAAATTCGACGGAAGATAAAAGCTTCTTACCGTACGTCTCCTGAAAATCTTCCTCCTCCTATGGTCAAAATGCTAATGATAAACACAAGGTTCTGGGACAGGGCTTACATGTGTACATGGAGCTCCTGGTAAGAGTACACAGCCGGTCAGAAGGGAGATGTGTTAGGAGGCCTTTTGTATATAGAGTCGCATTCCTCCACACCCATCGCCAAGACGTTCAATTTATCAACTTGTTTGTGAGAGAGTCAAAATTTGGCCCGTGCACTTATTAGAGAGGCTAAAACTGCCATGCACTGCATGTGTTGGAGAGAGTGCTCACCTTCATCAGAAAAGATTAAGAAAGTATTAATTTATCATCACTAATGATGTATTTTATTGCTTCAAAAGTAAAGTGACAGTGTTTTCATGTAGTCATGACATTCCTCAAGGCCAAAGGGACAATTACGCTCAGGTGACGTCATTGTGTTACCCATCAATCTGATTTAACCGGTTAACAGGATTATTGCCTGTTTATACAGTACCTCTGCCTACGCTTTGATGCTGAGATACTGGTAATTCATAATTTGCTTTCCAATTTACAATTTCCAATTACTGTTTATCTCCAGTAAATACATGTTTGCCTGGATGATAAAAACACATTTATTCCCATCTCCATTTATCCTTGTATCCGTGTGTAATCCTATCCTAATCTATTCTAAATTTCATGCGAAGTCAAGCTGATGAAATGGCAACAATAACAAACTCGATATGGCCTGAAACCAAACAACAATCAAATTGGACAGAAAATATAAACAGTGCTTTTTGTCAGTATGTTATCTAAAAATGAGTGTGAGGCTGCAGCGCCCCTTTTATGGTCAAAATGATAACAGCACACTTGAATCAAGGGATCCATTAAGACATTCAGAGAGGTAATCAAGCTCATTTTCATGACAGAAACATTCCCTGCTTATCAAAACAAAGACACTGCATGCTTTACTGGAGAAAAGGAAGTCATACATTGTAGAATTATCTTGAAAAACATTAAAAGCTCACTGGTTCACTATTTTTATTGTACTGATAGCGCAGAAGAAAAAGTTATATTTCACTCTTTACAGACAGGACAGTGGCAGGGTAATACACAAGCATGATGATCCATCACTTCAAATATTCTGCATTGCATCAGTGGCAGTAAAAGCCAGTTTCAACATGTGTAAATTCTCAAGAGAATAAATTCCCAACATCTTAAAAAAAACCCCATAAAAAACAACTCAGCTTTCTGATAAATGCTATGGAAACAGATAGCACAGCCTCAGGTTACACCCGCCAGGTTAAGTTTTGTCAAGACAGCCCACCATGGCTTTGTTTCGCAAGAACAATAGAGGTGGGACAGCTCGGAAATGAAACTACAGTTTACAAAAATCATAATTACATGACATCATATTCAAGACTGACAAACACAACACAGTAATGTAAGAGTTAGTGTGCACTTGAGGTTATTTAGCAAAAACTTTTATGCTCTTACACCTAATATTTATTTCACACTTAAAGAAAATTATCCAATCCAAAATCAAAGTCTGGGATAATGTTCCATCACAGCAGATTACTTGCAGAAGATTGATAGTACTCACATATTTGTAAATATGAAGCTGATTAGCTTAGCTTAGTTTAAAAACTAGATACAGAGGGAAGCAGCTAGCCTGGCTCTGTTTGAAGCTAAGAAAATCCACCTCCAGCACCTCTAAGATCATGAATCAACAAGTTGTATCTAATTTTTTCAATTGGTACTAAAAGTTTAAAAACCACCCAATATCGATATGGGGGTGGGGTGGCTTGATTTTGTACAAAGTAGCAATTACAGGTGCTGGCAGGCAAATTTTGTTGCAAGGAGACCATAGAGATCAGGAAACGGGCCAGGGACACCATCAACCGGAATGAGGGGGCTTTCATGCTGTCACACACCTGGGACTCTCTCCAGAGACCATAGGGCGGCAGGGGGCGTGACCGACCTAGCAGATCTGTCAGATTGCCAGACCGGTCACACCTTCAAGGAAACACCAGCTGATAAAGACACGTCACGACGCACGTCAGATGGCAATTGAAACATGTCAAGGTAAAGCAACATCTCCTAATCTCTTTGTCTGAAAAAAAGAAAAACCTCTATACAGAAATAATCATATTCATCCTGAATATAAGCAATATTAACCACATTTTATTTAGAACCAAAATATAGTGCTGCACGATTTGATAAAAATGTGCGATTGCGATTATGGTGGACAATATCGTGATTTGCGATTGCGATTACAATGTAATTACAATAAAATGTAATAAATAAATGGTATCATGAGTCTTTTTGCTTGATTCAGTGTTTCCCCTACATTATATTAGGGGGGCACTGACCTGCCAGTTATTGTTATGGACAGACAGTGTGTCAATGACCATCAACAGACTGAGCACAGTCAAACACACTGCTCACACAGCAGCGCAGCATGGAACTGTACACACAGCGGAGCGAGCATATGTTGCGTTCAGGCGTTGTCATGTAAATGACAAATTCCACCATGTGAATAGGCCATAGCAAAACACAGCAGCATGTCAAGTGGGCTGAACCCGAGCAAAATTGCTCAATTTTTCATTTATTATATAGTCTGTTATTATTTATTGTTGTTTTATGAGGCTCTGGCGACTTTCAGTTGTCTCTTTGTCTTTAACGTTACACGGCTCGGCTTTCTCTCACATGCACTCCTCCTACTTTTCCCTGTGCTGTGCTGTCTCAAGTGTTGATATAGATTGGTAGTGTTGCCGCGGGATGTGGCGACTTTAACTTTTACACTTAAACAGCACGTCTTTCTGTTCAACGTCGCTGTACCTGAATCCAAAGTATCACCATGTAACAGACATTTTTTTCGCCACCAACTCAGCCTGTTCATGGTCGAGCTCATGCTCTTCTTCAGCGTCTGTGTTGGTCACTGCTGCACGCCGGCTGCACGCACCAGGATAGCTTGTGGGCGTGATGTCAACAAACTCCACACACTACAGGAAAGGCAGTCACGTTCACAGGCACACAAGTTAACATTTATTTAGCCTACATTAAATCGCAAATCACAGCCATTTATGCGGTTACGTAATCGCACAGCCTGACATCGCGATTGCGATTAGATTAATCGTGCAGCACTACCAAAATATTCACTGTTTCTTTCATTAAGACAACAAAAATAAATATATTTATTGTCCCTTTCGTAAAATGTAGTCTGTTTCATGATGACTACCCCCTTCACTAAAAATGGTATGAGCATGCATTGCTATTAGTAAAGCAGATATGGGGAGGGCCCATTCACTGGACCGTTTCAGGGGACCAACTATTTCTGTGGGCGGGCTTTTTCCCTGTCTTCCCAGTCATTATGCTATGCTAAGCTGCAGCTTCGTATATAGCCCTCAGACATGAGAGTGGTATCGACCTCGTCATCTAAGAACGTGAATAGTGTATTTCCAAAATGTGAAATTATTATTCCTTTAAGTTTCCATAGGTCAATGACTAATATGTATATAACAAAGAAAAAATTAGCATGTTAAATGAAGTGATTTCTTTCAAGGTCCAGTGTGTAAGATTTAGGGGGATTTAGTGGAATCGAGCAGTGAGGACTGCAGATTGCAACCAGATGAATTCTAACAATGTTCTTTGTTCAGGAGGTTTTTGCTGGGAGATGAATTATCCTCAGAGGTCTCTCCCTCTCCAAAACAAATGGACATGGTGATCAAAACCAGTATAAAAAACACTGAATAAAGCAGTTTCATGTTACGCACTTTGCTGTGTGCTCCCCTATTTTCTCTGATAACTTAATGTGTGCTCACCTTATTACTGATCCAGATGTTCAGGTGGTTTTCACCAGCAGCCAAATTATTCTTATAGGTCTCCTCGTCACCTAAACAAATGGACCAGGTGATCAAGCTGGTAAAAGCAATGAATGAAATGGTTTCAGGGACAAATCAATGTTTCTCTAATGCTGTTTGGCAACTACGGTGACCAATGCGAAACCATGAATGGCAATATCTAGAGCCAGTGTTTGGTTTGTCTGTTTAGGGCTACTGTAGAAACATGGTGTTGCAACATGGTTACCTACTACCTTTGTAGATATGAAAGGCTCATTCTAAGGTAACGAAAACACAGTAATTCTTACTTTCAGGTGATTATACACTAAAGAAAACATGCTCATTACATTATATTCTATGTGCACCAGTATATCCCCCTAAATCCTACTGGACACTGGACAGCTTCTTTGGTAAAACTCTTCTCTATATGTGTAGGATGATTTAAATTTCCGTGCTCTCAGTTTGTTGAGTTAAGTTGACATTGGCATTGGAATGTCCGGACTTTTTCCATTGTCTTTTCCTCCCGCTACACACCAATCTAAACACCTCCCTTGCCCTCTGCTTAAAGTGCTTCCCCACTATTACATACAGGAAAGGATTCAGTGAGCTGTTACTATAGCCAACGTAAGTAGCAAGCTGGTTTCCAATGTCCAACACATACGCCCATGTACATCCTGTGATGACTTCATAATGATCCAAGGTGTCCAAGAAGATGATAACCTGGTAGGGCAGCCAGCAGAGGATGAACACTGCCAGAACGACAAGAACGAGGCACGCCGCTTTCCTTTCCACACTGCCTCTGCTGCCTTTTCTCAGCTTCTGGCTTTGCCAAAGGACTTTAGTAATGTGGTAAGTACAGAAGGACACAATGGAGACAGGGATAAGGAAGCACACTATGTTGGCAGTCATGTTGTAGCGCAGTCTCCAGCCATCATGGGGATATTCAAGATAACATGCCTCAATGTCCAGATGAGGGAAGAACTGGACGGAGCGGAAGAGGATAGCTGGGAAGCTGAGCATGACCCCAGCAATCCAGATGCTGATGCAAATCACATGTGCCCAGAAGGCCCGTCTCTCCCTCCCCTGGGTGAGGGGTCTAGTGAGGACCAGGTATCTGTCCACGCTCACAAGCGTAAGGAACAGCACACTGCAATAGTAATTCATTCCAATGATAATGCCGGTAAGCTGGCACATGGGCTCCCCAAACCTCCAGTTGAACTTGTTGATAATAGTTGCTACCCAGAACGGCAGGCAGGAAACCATGAGGAGATCAGCAGCTGCCAGGTTGCTCAGATAGATGTCGGCCACAGAGCTGTGCCGCTTCTGGAGACAGAACACACAAAGCACAAAGGAGTTGCCAATCACTCCAAGGAGGCAGATGATGGACATGTAGGCAGGCTGCATGGTATAAACCCAGTCCCATGCTTCTGTGTGGTTGCAGACAAGCTCATCTCTTGCATCAGTCTCCATGGGTGATGTAGATCACTGTGAAAGCTGTTGCACACTAACAGAAATTTTAGGGTTAGAAAAAGGGTGTGCTCACAATAAATTCCAGTAAAACCTTTCAGCTGTGTCAACACAGGCGTAATATCTGTGTTGCTACCTTCACATCATGATTTGTGTTTTAAAGTGATAAGGGATTATTGATTTAGTAGGGTGTAAGTGATTTAGTGGTGGTTTATCAGTCAGAGCTCACAGCACACACATGCCTTTGTCAAAGAGGGGAATCTTAGCAACAGGTACTGTATGGAACATGTCTGATCGTCAGTCCGTGCAAGTATGAATTTGTGGCCTGGGTTCTTTTCAAACTCTTTCAGTATGATTACTGGTCTGGAAACTAACACAAATTTAGAAAAAAAATATTGATACAATATTTTCAGTAATATAAAACTGCCATTGTTATTTCCATAACTGTACATCTTTTCCATGATGATCATGGATGGATTACTGAACGGGCCTACCAGGCAGGCACAGATCCAGGGGCAAAAAAGTGTCAGGGGGCTGCATGGCCTTCCCTTGCAAAATGTCATTCAAATTAACATGGACCGACCAGAAAGAGACTCAAAATGACCTTAAAAAGACAAAAAGATCAGAAAGAGATGCAATGAGACACAAAATGACCAGAAAAAATGTCCACTAAGACTACAAAAATGGCTACAAAGTGACATAAAATGACCAAAAATACATAAAATTACCTCAACAAGGTACGGAATGACCCTAAAAAAACAAAACAACCAAAAAGAGACACAAAATGGCCACAGAAAGATCACAAAGAGATGCAAGGGAACTGCATCTGACACAAAATAACAACACAAATATTGGCAAAACATTCACAAAGAAAGACAAAACAGCTACAAAGAGACACAAAAGGACTACAAAGTGACATAAAATGACCTCAGTGACACACAAAACAACCATAAGGAGACACAAAATAACTACAAAAAGACAAAAAGGCAAAAACATCACAAAGAGATGCAAAGAGAGACAAAATAACAACACAAATAATGGCAAAACACAAAAAAACCCCAAAATGGCTATGAAGAGACACAACATGACTACAAAGCAACAAAAAATTACCAAAAATGTATAAAATTACCTCAAAAAGACAAAAAACTCACAAAGAAATACGAAGGAACTGCAAAAGCGCACAAAATCACCACAAAAATGGGCAAAACATCGACTAAGAGACACAAAATGACTACAAAGTGACATAAAATGGCCAAAGAATGTATAAATTTACTTCAGTAAGACACAAAATGACCTCAAATACAAACAAAACAACCACAAGAAGACACAACATGACCACAAAGAGACATTAACCACAGACAGATGCTTCATGACCACACGTCTTGCTCCTACGTAGGAAAGGTGGTGGGGCCCTTTACATATCTATGCCCAGAGGCCCATAATAATCATAATCCGCCCATGACTATAATGAACAAAGTTATGGAAAATATGTAATTTTGTTACATCAAAAAAACAAAACAAAAAAAAAACAACACCACATCTCATTATATGTTAGCTTGCTAATGTCCATTTTAGCATTAGCATTAAATTAACACAAAATACAGAATATAAACTGTTGTTCTTTTTTTTAACATTCAAATAATATATCAGCAGTTTGACAGCCAATAAACATATTCTTTATTTAACAGTTTCCTCTTTGGAACCAGCTGTCCTCCAGCCATGTGCTCCCTTGTCACATGACCTCTGCTGCAGTCACCAAGTATACAAACCTTAAAAGAACCTACCTGAGTTTACATTTTTTACAGTGTGATGGAAATGACAGCAACCAAAGTGGTGCTATTTTTTAATGCAAAAAACACACAAGATACTGTTTGTTCCTTTTGCTGTCAAGTAAGTGGGACACAAATAGAAAATAAGAAATGTGTTTTTATATTTCTTATTTTTGATAAGAACACAAAAAGTTGGAGAACCATCCACACACACCGTGAGTATTTATATATTTAAGTCCAACTGAAAATTAATTTCTTCTTACTTTCTGTGCAAAGAAATATGAACTGAGATGATACTGCAACTGTTGTGCACATTCCTCCCATTATTAGGAGCAGATTTTTTTGGATGAAGCTTCAAGCATCTGGCAAGATCTTTCTCATGGCAGGCTGACATTTGAGGGCTGGATTTACTGGGAGGCATGCTGTCAACTTCCATGGTGCTACAGACCAGGAGTACGTCAACGCCTTGTGTTGCCTTTAAACATTTTCCCCCTCACATTTGACCATTATGTGCTTAAGTTTTTATTCCTCTGAAAAAGTGGAACAAGCTAGGATAACTTGCATAATCCTAAAAGGCAGACAAAAATACATGGAGCAAGGTCAAACGGTGTATTTTCAGCATGCATTTCACCCTTTGAAGTCATTTTGTCTGCCTGCATGTTTTTTTCGCTCCACAACAATTTCCAGCTCTGGCAGTGGTGGTAAAACCTGACTCCCAACAAAGATTTCCTGTTTGGCGCAACATGCCTAACATTTTGGGGACAGCTAGGGGTGTACCCTTGCCCACAGCCCACAATGAGTCAACATTGGGCCATTAAATGTTGGGAGTGTGGAAAAATATAAAGTGAGATGTCCATACAGCCAACGAAAATGAGTGTGTTTGTGTGTCACCAGTGGAAACTCTTTGACAGAGCCCTGTTTTTAACTGCAGCAGACAATGAGTCAGAAACACCAGAAAACACTTAGCAAGCAGTTGTTGGAGCTCTCGTTCTAAGTCTAGTCTTTTGCTCAACTCAACATTGAAATGCAAGGTTCAACAAGACATCCATAAAACCATTTGTATGTTTTATTTGACATGTAATATGTTCAGAGATAAACAGATACTGGTACTATTACAATCTGAGTTATCAGCAGTACAAGGCAGAGTATAAAAACTGTATTTACATGAATTATTTTACAGCATCCAGGCTGGTTCACACCACACCATCTCTACATTCACGACACGGATGTTTGCCAATGTTTGTAACAAGAGACTGGCTGAAGTTTATTGCATGTGGTGAGAAAAGCAATTCATTCAAGCCCTGGTCCTACACGTATAACTTCATTTCTTAAAATTCAGTTTATCTTTTTAAAGAGGCCCATCCAGGTCTCACTCCCAACTTGCTAAACACAGACACTCGGTCATATCATGCACAGAGGCACCCTTTATCGATGGTAATGAGATGCAAAGGGCAGATGCTTCAGGCATCTACTGCAGTATTGATATGAGAAAGGGTGATATGGTCCCATTGCATCCACTACAAATGTAATAATAAATTAAGCTTATCATTGGAATAATTTACATTTGTGCAAGTCTATTAAATGACACTCCACCACTCTTTCTGCAAAGTCTTTTTTGACGGGGAAGACTGCTTTTGAAAGCAGCATTTTATACCATTGTCTTCAATGTAGAGGACAGGTTTGACGAACGCGACGACTCAGAGTTAATTGTTCTTTCCAAGTGCCACTGCTTGAAGAGTTCCCGAACTTTTTTCCGGAAGTTCTTTCCCACAATGACGTAGAGGATGGGGTTGAGAACGCTGTTGAAGAAGCCTAAGTAGGTGAAGAGCTGATTGCAGATTTCCAGGACAGACAAGAGGTGACACCCTCCCAGGACCTCGGCTCGTAGGAGTACGTCCAGCGTGGTGACGATGTGGAATGGCACCCAGCAGATAAGGAATGCCAGGAGGACCACCAGCACCAGCGTGGTGGCCTTCTGCTCTGTTTTCTCAGCATTGAACCTCTCTATTGCCTGGACCTTCAAAGCCTGAATAATCCTGATAGTGCAGAATGAGATAATCGTAATGGGGATGATAAAGCTAAAAACGACCAACATCCCATCAAAGAGCAGCTCTACAGTATGGTTTGGGTAGACCAGATAGCATGCGGTGACATCATGGTCAGGCAGGTAGTCCACTTTCCTGAAGATGAGCGTGGGGACACTCAGGAGCAAACCAAAACCCCAAACCAGCGCACAGCCCAGTTTGGCATATTTTGGCCTACGCATTCTGCCATGGGACATTGTTCGCACCAGTGCCACATAGCGATCTATGCTAACCAGGACGAGGAAGTAGATGCTGCTGTAGGCATTCAGCTTAATGCCCGTGTTGATCACTTTGCACAGGAACAGACCGAAATGCCAGTTAAAACCATTGGATATGTAGACGGCCCAGAAAGGCAAACAGGACACCAGGACGAAGTCAGCTGCAGCCAGATTGCTCAAGTAGATCTCAGCAACAGTGCAGGGCTTCTTGTGGAAGCAGAAAACCACCAGGACGAACGCATTGAAAATGACTCCCAGCACAGTGATGACCAGGATATACACCGGCTGGCCGGTGTGGAGCCACTCCCAGTCGTACGGATCAATACAATCGGAGCCATTGGTGTTGTTCTGTGCTCCATATAGAGCTGTGGTGCTTAAGTCTGGGATGCTGTTGGGAACATAAAACAAAGACCAATAAATGTTAGCATTAAAACAACATTTTTTTTTGAGTTAGATGAGAACATCAGTGCCACTCTTACTGCTATTTTATGCTCAGCTGGTTAGCCTAGCTTAGCATTAAAACTGAAAACAGTGGGAAACACCTGCAGTAGCTCGGCTTGTCTCTGTCCAGAGGTAACAAAATCCAACTTGGTGTGTTGTTGGGGAAATGTTCATTATTAGGTCATCCCCTGAGATGAGGATTCAGCAAGAGCAGAGTTCAACATGATGGCTGTTACGACTCTTTTCTGTACGTTCAAGCTGTGAGCTTTGTTGTGCAGTAAAACAACACAACATGACTAGCAACTGAGCCTCTACAGACAGCTGATCATAAGCCTCTTAGCTCTTTAAGCACCACCTACACAGCTGATCATAAAACAGAGCAGTTCACTGCAACTGGAACTACTAATTGCTGCATTGAACCTTTACACACACCACCAGCAGCCCTGCCTTCACCCATAAATCAATAACTTTTACAACTATACCTGTTGTGATACTCTGCCAAGTTTATGCTCATGTTTTTGTGTCCGCTTCCTGTTTTATTTTGAAATGTGCTCTCATTGTGTTTAGTGGGTTTTCTTTTTTACTTCCTGAGTTTTCCCACCTTTGTTAATTACCTCATGTGTTTCACCTGTGTCTTGTTCCACTCACCTGTGTGTACGTAGTAATCAACCCCTGTGTATTTAAAGCCCTGTATTTCCCCCATTCACTTGCCTCTTGTCATTGTCTTCCTCTTGTGTTCATGCTTTCCAGCCTTTACTTTGTGTTTGATTCCTTGGTTTTTGTCTCAGCTTAAAGTGAGGGACTTTGGTGTGATTTCCCTGAATGGATTTTTCTGCCTTCACGTGTTTGACCCCTCAAATTTAGATCAAACAGTGAGGCCATGACGGGGTAATGCCAACTCTTTTATGATCCATCAGGGAGATATAAACAAAGTCCATCATATGCCTCATGTAACATTAGTTGCTCAAGCAATCCACTTTAAATTGCCTTGCACATAATCTGGAGCTTTCACAGATACCACTTTCCTCAAGTGAATAAATTCTGGCCTGCTGCCTGTCACCACAGCATTTTTGGTAAACAGCCACCCTGATGTACCATACTATTGCCAGCTAGCGAACATAACCTTAGCCCTGTGCAGATTGATTTATGGGTGGATGGTGTGATATTATCGGTTGAAATTGGATCGTTGTAGCTCATGTAAGCACACATCATATTTAGCTTTAAAGGAGAAACCCTTATTGGATTTTGATTTAACAAAATGAAGAACGATTTTTTTGTAAATGTTTTGGGCATATATTGTTGAATAGGTGCACAAAACGTCAGGGGATGTGATCAAAAAGAGTTAAAAAGGCATTTTTTTTCATCATTCATTTCATTTTAAGTCACGTACTGTCGTAGAGCGGTCACCATGTTCCAGTAATGAGCAACAGGCTTGGCTCTGTACATACACATATGAGAATTTCTGAATGTATTAAGAATCAGTAACAGAGCTGCAATTTAAGAGCATAGGTCCACATCAAATGTATCACACAGGAGTTTGAAGTAGAAGATGGCAGCTCTGCAACAGTGGGCAAATTGAACGCATATGCAACTTCTGCAACATGAACTTTACAGTAACCACAAGTTTGTCGTAAAATGCATGGTTTTCTTTGGTAGTCAAAATCGTAAAAACAACAACCTTGTAACCAAAATGTTTATAGTGAAAATGAAAGGGAACTACTGATCACTGTTACATAACACTGAATATGTTTACATAAATAGATGAGATGATGAAAGACATGTCTATACTGGTAGAGACAATTCTGGTTTTTCATCCCCTGGTTTGTTTTGTCTTTGTTTCACTGGATCATTTACTTTTAGGAATCAAGACATTCTGTCACCCAACACACCCTGATGTGTGATAACTGTGATTTTCTGTGAGTTTCTGCACTTAGTCATTGGCATACAGTGATTATAAAGCACAACACTACTTTATGTTTAAGAAGAGTTAATGTATCAGTGTTACTGTGAAATATTTCACAATATCTAAAACCAAACGGCGGTCATGCATACCTTGTAGATTGAAGAGTCATTCCTCCTGAGTAAGTCCAGATGTAAAATGTCCAGATGCCCAGCTGCACTGCTCAGTAGCCCTCCCTTACTCTACTGAGTCTGCCTCTGACTTGCCCTCTTATAGGAAATTATAAGGGTGTCAGCCAACTTCAGTTCTTATGCTCTCTTTTTCTCTCTCTCACTCTCCTGTTTGTCCCCTGCCCTCCTCTGAGTAACATCATACATACAGCAATGTCTATGTGTTTGCGACCTGGCTAATGTTTATTTGCTTGAGGTTTTATTATTGGATGAGGACTGTTCAGAATGCGGCCGCTTGAGCTGGAAGTTTAAGTGTCAGTGTGGGCAGATGACGTCTGTCTTGGTGTAAATACACTGCAGGTAAAATTGAGAATTTCAGCATATTTGAGGACTTACTGGATATTTTGTGGGAAATGAATGAATTTCCAATTACACAAACATCTGACGTGAGCATAGTAATGCTATTCCCTCAGCGTTAAAGTGAAGTAGATGTGTGCTCGGACTATAGAGTCATTTAATGTTATGTTCATGCACTGCTCGCTGTGCATTAGAGACAAATGAATCCATTTACTGCACCACATTGAGTTTATTGTAAGGTTATTGTTATAGTAAATACTTCTGCCAGTGTTGTGTCTGATGTACAATGTTTTAATAGCCTCAGAAGTGCATTATGATAGGGACACTGTTGAGCAGTGAAATGTATGGTTACTGTGGTGAACCTGAAACCATTACTTACCCTCCACAACTAACCTTCAAATGTGTTTATGCAGACAGAAGCAAACATGGAGTCCATCACTGGGGGTGGACCTACACCACCCAATATACTTTACCAATATGCAGTTATTGATAAGTACTTGCAAATCTTCCTGTTTTCACCATAAATGTTTGTCATTTCTACAAAATTGCTGAGACTTTTTTTTAAATATCAAAATAGTATTAATTTCTGCAATTACAGTTCCAGAATAAAATGACGAGTCATTTAGCCAGGCACTGCTTGGCTAATTAAATACATGCAGAGATTCCTGACAGATCTTACTATGTGTTTTGTGTGTTTCTACTATTTTCATTGTCATCACTATGATAGATCATAAAATCATGGTGGCCATTTCATGAAAGCAATTTGCAAGCACTTCTACCTGGATCATATTTAATCGTGACACAATACAAGAGCTAATGATGACAGGTGAGGATTGGGCCATAAACGGACCGGTACATCGAAAGCTTTGCCTTTTTAGTTCAGCTCCATCTTTGCTATGATGGTCTGGCACAGTGCCTGCATCATCATTGATGCTGTGCCAAACCGCCTATCCATCTCACGCTCCATTTTACCCTCACTTATAAACAAGATGCCGAGATACTTGAACTCCTTCACTTGGGGCAGCAACTCTCTCCCAGCCCGGAGGGGGCAATCCACCATTTTCCGGCAGAGAACCATGGCCTCAGACTTGGAGGTGCTGACTCTCATCCCAACCACTTCACACTTGGCTGCAAACTGCCCCAGTGCACGGTGGAGATCATGGTGTGATGAAGTAAACAGAGCCACATCATCTGCAAAATCTATGGTCATGCGCTTTGGGTAGTGATCCAAAGAATAAGGCTGCAGGTACAAGTGGCCGAAATAAGCTTCCTCCATAGGGTGGCTGGACTCAGCCTTAGAGATGGGGTGAGGAGCTCGGGCATCTGGAGGGAGCTCGGAGTAGAGCTACTGCTCCTTTGCAAGGATGCCTCTTGGGCACCTCCCGTTAGAAGTTTTCTGAGCATGTCCAAGTGGTAGGAGGCCCGGGGCAGACCCAGAACACGCTGGAGGGGTTATATATCTCATTTGGCCTTGGAATGCCTCAGGATCCTGCAGCAGGAGCTGGAAATCGTCGCTACAGACAGGGACATTTAGAGTAATTTGATCAGCCTGCTGCCCCCATGAGCTGGCTCCAGATAAGTTGATGAAAATAGATGGATGGACAATACAAGAGAGACTAAAAAGAAACACTTATGAACATTGAAACTTTGACATTGCTGCTGCTTCTATACACAGTTTATGATCATCTGAGCCATTTCAAACTTCTCTCCAAAGTGAAACATTATGACTTATACAAGACATTTGAAAACATGGTCTACCTTTCACCTAATGTGTCCTCAACCCAAGGTCTGGTGTCTGCATGTTGCAAGTTTGACACAAGAATGAGTGTGCTTTGACTCAGCCAAAACCACAGGATTGGAAACAGCCATTGCGGTTGGCCTCTATTCCTCATGCTCGTCTCTTACTGGAGGCAAAAATCCTGAGTTGTTGCAAAACAGAAACTCAAAAAATTCATTCATTCTCCATTGTCCCGGCAGGACACGCTCATGACCCATTGTTGCTCTCCTGCTGTCTTGTATTGTGGATAAAGACTCAGACCCTTCCCCCTGTTTAATGTTCAACACTGACCCTCCAGTCTCTTCTTAATCTACTTGACTAAGATTTATAGATCAGTTACACTATTACATTTTCTATACTGTGCACAAATGGACATGTGTGTGTGTGTGTGTCACGAACAATGCAGGAAGATGGACTGTTGGCTCAGTTATCAAGCCTGTGATTTTCAGCTCTTATCTAATGACTGAGATCTTCAGTTATCTCACAGACAACATTTGGATGAACAACATGGCAATTTTGGGCACATTAAGATCTCACAGTGCAGCTAAATAGCAAGAAACACTTTAAAACAAAGGTCTTGATTCAGCATTGATCTGAATAGACAAAGTGCTTAAAAGCAGTCAGTAATGTGTGAAAACTGATCTGGTGCATCATAGTCATGGGATTAGCGTGCAGTAAGTGCATGACCATGACTGTGATCTTTATTGAAGTAATGTCGCAATGATGGATTTCAGTTTTGCCACTTTCTGTTGGTTCAAAACACACGCACAGATTGAAGAACCACCTCATGATATTCTGTAATGAATACTTTAGAAGTGTAGCTGTTGTTACACATGAACCCTTAACTATGTTAGGGGAAGGCCCACAATCTGAGTGGTAACCTCGAAATGACTTCCAGCAGGATGAAGCCCTGTGGCCACACCAAAGCACTTAACATCCACTTGTAAATTTCCAGTTGGTGCTGGCGCCATTCTCTCACCCACCATCAGTTTCCTCTGACAGGTCAGGTTGTCTCTCAGACAATCTAATAACAGCTAAGTCATGAGACGTCCTGGTGTTGCAACAGAGATTTTATTTCCTCCTTTTCTCAGCCACCCTTTCCTTGTTTCTTGAAATGATAAGAATCACATTAAGATGTCTTATTAATTGGATGCTATTATAAACTTGTATGATTGATTGGTCTATTTACCACTGAGTGTATTGTGCACTATTGATTTTCCACTTAGGACACTTTACCAAGACATTTCCCAGGAGTCAAATGCGTAGAAAGGGAAGCTAAATATCTAAATAACAGAACAAAAGTAGTTATGCAACACCTTTATTACAAACAATGGAAGTCCTTGAATGGTCAGGGTTGATATAGGAATAAATAAATATCAACACTGACATCAACTTAAGGCTAGTTCACATTACATGATTTTCACCCCGATTTTGACGTCGCAGAGGATCTTGAGAGCCACCTTGGGTCGGCGGTGAGTCGGCAGATAGTCTGCCACGACGAGTCCTCATGCGTGAAAAAACCTACGAGCAAGTCGCCCCCTCGTCTGTGACTGGGTCTGGATATCTGGCATGCTAGAAAACTGGAGAAGTTTGACTGGCAAAGAGCATCAGCCAATGAGAGGCGGGATACGTCCCACGTCAGCACGCAGGAGGACGGAAGAAATGTGAGGAGGACAAGCCGCAGGGTTGCCAGGTCCGCTTATTAGCCACGACTTTGGGCTTGTTTTTTTGTAAAGTCGCTTACAAATATTGGTAGTCGCGGGTTGCGTTTTTTTGGGCTTGTTTCTAAAGTGGAGTTGCTTATTTGGGCTTGCTCTCTAAACGTCATCTTTCTCTCTCTATATATATCTGTCGCTTCATTTGGGCTTGTATCCATAGCCCTGGTTGCTTGTTTCTCTCCCAAGATCTAGCAACACTGACAAGCCGGCAAGCAACAACAACAACGGTGGCGTCCACAGGATCACGGGGAGCGCGTTGTATTTGGAGCTAGGCCCTGGAGGCAGATCTGATTCAACACTGGGAAGGATATCCATGCCTTTACGATATGTCGTCTCCAAGTTAAAAAACTTAGTTTGGTGACATCCAGAGTTGGGTATAACGCATTACAAAGTAACAAAGTAACAAAGTAACGCGTTAGAGTACTTTGATTACTTCTTGCAGTAACGAGAAACCTAAGGCGTTAGTTTGCTGTTTGAGTAATCAAATACTTAAGTACATTTTCAAACAAGACATCAGTTACTTCCGTTACTTTTACAACGCAGGTCCTTCAGGTCCGAAACAGCAACGGCTGTCGTTTGGTTCTAATAACGGAGATAACGTTAAACCTATCAGTCTGAAAGAAGCCACGGAGCTTCTGGCTCGCTACATAGTCGGAGAAATGCTGCCGTTGTCTACGGTGAAGTCTAAATATGTGCAATAGGACTCGCTGACAGACATATTTCAGACTCAGGACTTGCATTATGCCTGGTACACGCTACACACTGGTACTCACCACTTATCCCCGGTCATCTTTCACGGCGTGTGTGATGTCATCAGATTATTCTTGTCCTGTTTTTATCACTTTTGCTATTATTTGAGTCACTGTGTCTGTTCATGTGCCAGCCGACATGTTGCTGCAGTCACCTAAAAGCGTCAGCAGATGGCAGGAGCTACATTTGAAGCGCCATATGTTAACTATCAAGCTACTGTATCTTAGCCTAGCCGAGGATATAAGGGGCTTTTAATTTGAAACAAGTGTTGAGTTTGAAATGACGGTGCGATATGTTAACTTTACAAAGACAACAGAGCGGATAAAAAGTAAATATATAAACACACAGAGGGATTAATAAATAACGGACCGTCTATAATGTAGTTTGTTTCAAATGAAGCTGGGAACCTCTGCAGTTGTGGTGAGTAAAAGCCCCGCCGCTATTTGTTAATGTTATTACTT